CTCTTTCGGCCCTCCGGCGTCTCTTTCGGCCACAGTACTCACTCTGTTAAAGCGCTTGGCTTGAAACAGATGGCCATTCACTCGGTACAGCTTCCTCCATCTCCTGGCGCCCCGCCGGTAGATTGATTCTGAGAAGGATATTAAAAAGGTGTAAAGCAGGAGCATATTATTAATCCGTCCCTACGGCGAGCTGGCGGCCTGTGGATTCGGGGCTTCTCCGAGCGCGGTCCGACAGAAAAGAGCATCGCCCGGAAAGCTGCGCTGTCAAAATGCATGTGAAGGAACATGTCTCCCCATCGCTCTGGCCTCTCCCTCCCCTCCCTCCATCTCTCTCCCCCCCCTCACATGATCATGGTCTTATTACAGTTCTAGGGCTGCAGACTCAGGTGAGATGGCGAGAGATGATAGACCTCGGAGAAAAGGCTGGGTGTTTAAGCCAATGGCCGACGAGGCAAGTTAGCTGGGAAACACCCCCCCCCCCCAGACAATACATAGATGCACAATTATGGTTCCCCCTCCACATTCTCATGGAAGATGATGTCGCTAGGCTCAAAGGGGGTAAGAGGTCTGGGGAGGGGGCTTTGGACATCCGTCAAGAAAGGACAAATATTCGGGAACTTTGTCCAAATGGAAGTCAGATTCAGGTGAAGAGTCCTCTTGGGCTGTTTGGAGCGGTACGGAGACCACATTCAATTAATATATATATATATATCATTTCACTGGATTTTCAAAGCATGCCCTAAAGCTATTTTAATACCAGCTTTGTAGCTTTTTTTTTTTTAGTTTTTCAGAACAGGCTCAGCTGCAGGTGGAGAGCATAACTTGAGTGTGTTCCCTTTTGCAGAGCCAATTTCTGAAGAAAGGGGCTAAAGTAGGGGGTGGGGAGGAAAGTACGATCATCACCGACGATGGAATCCTTGATGACGCAGACATCATTGAACCGCATTTCGGAAGGATACCCGCCCCCACCCCATCCAAATATGGATCAGGAATCGGAAGACTCCCCCCCTCCCCCACCCCAAATGGCTGAGAACTTTCGACCCACACCATCGCTTTTCCTTCAAAAGAAACGCTCCTTCCATGCAAAAAGTCCTACATCGCCTTGGGTCCAAAGCACTCACTGTCTGATCTTCGGGCTCTTTTAAGAATATGCAATGTATGCAGCTGGAGAAAAGGGATTATTATTGTTGTTGTTGTTGTTGTTATTGTTATTATTATTATGCCCAAAGCATATCAAGTTTTATTTTAAATACACGCCATATTTCAGCCTGGAAAAAAACCTCCCAGAGGAATTAAGAGAAAAGAGCGGAATAAAGATCAATAAAAGATTACATTAGAAGAATAAAAGATCTGAAACGGGGGGTGGGGATGGGGGAATCCTCCCATCAATGCTATAAAACCAAAGCAGATTCAGGGTTTTGCATCATTTAGGGAACCAGATACTTAGAAAAACTGGATTCTGGTCTTTTGTATCAATTAATTGTTATACTCAATTTATGAATGATGCGATGCGTGACCTTGGTGCAGGTGTGTTCTAAGGACCACAGGTAGAGAAGCCAAAGAGTCAATGAGGTTTGAGGCTAAGATAACTACACGTCCAACAACTCACACCCATCGTATTGCATCCTAAACCAACTGTCTAAATGGATCAAGCCAACAATGTCCAACAAAGATGTCAACAGGCCTTTGGCTCAAGGACCATCACCCAAGAAAATGTCCTCTAAGATATTTCACCCCTCCCCACGGAAGCATCCATAATGACTGTCCTTTATAAAAAGTTTGGGCCGGGAAGACTTACATTTCCTCCATCGATGAAAAACCATTAGTCGAAATAAGCCCCTTTCCCGCATTCACGCCCAGCAAAGCGAAGTCAACCTTAGCCTGAAGCTTCCAACCAGACCAAAGGATCTTGAGGTAGACTTTAATTTCAGTGGGTTTTTATTAGAAAACGTGGAAAGGAATGTAACTGTTTCTATGACAACTGGACGGCCAAAACACATTCCGGGTTTCAAATAAACACAGGATGCGAGACGTACACACAAACACACATCCGTGGAGAAGACCTGGGAGAATTCGACCCTAAAATTAAAATCGCTACAAAAAAAAAGAGATGATTTGTATTCAAAAGCCAAAAGAGCAAAAAAGGTTCATCCGCTTGGACCTCAATTCTTCTCAGAATTCCTTGGGAGCCATTTTCAGTTCTTCCCACCTCTATCTCTATGCGATGTCCTATGTCAGGGATGGCCAAGCTATGGCATGCGTGCCCAAAGTGGCACACGGACCAATGTCGCCCAGCATGCGCGGCCTTGCCTGTTTGTCTCCTGGGTTTCTGGCGCGCATTCGTGCACGATGATCAGCTGCTCTTCGTGTGCGTGGCAGTGCCGAAAACTGGTGCGTGCATGCGTGCCAGGCAGCTGATTATCAGGTGCGTATGTGCGCCGGAGGTTCAGCTTTCCTGGAGCGTGACCCCTTCGCGTGCGGGGATGTGCTGGAAACCGGCCTGCGCATTCGTACCGGCCAATTGATCATTGGGCACGCATGCGCACTAGAACACAGAAGTTCGGCTTTTCCAGAATGCGGCCCCGATGAGCATGCGAGATGTTTGCACGCCATTATTGTCCTATGTTGTGCAGTCTGCATCTGTGTCTTTCAGAAAAACCAGGTTTCAAGTCCATGACAGCTTAACACGTTACTTCCTAGCCAAGTTTGACTTACTCCCTGTCAGAAAATCTCTTGGTCGTCCGATCTCTTCTTAAGAATCTCTTAGAGATGGAGCAACCCATAACTTCAGGAGGCAAGTCGTTCCGCTGATTGATTGTTCTAATCGCCAGGAAATTTTTCCCAACAAATAAGGAACTAAGGAGAAATTTCCAGACAGAACAATGGATCAGTGGAATGACTTGCCTCCAGAAGCAGTGGAGGTTTTGAAGAAGAGACTGGGCAACCATTTGTCTGAAACAATAGAGGGTTTCCTGCTTGAGTAGGGGGTTGGACTAGAAGGCCTCTAAGTTGCCTTCCAACTCTTCTGTTATTCTTTCTTATTCTTCTTCTAATGTTTTTAGTAGACAAGCTCAAAGAACATACCCCTCCACTCCAGGACTGCAACCTGTGCATGTGGCTCTTTCATCCCTCTACTCTGGCTCCCCGTTGCTCAAAATATGCATCACAACTACCAATGTGCGACACCTGCAAGCACGCAAGCTTTATTGAGCTTTTCGACCCATCTTTTTTTTTTTTCCGGACTTCAAAATGTTTTTGTTGCATGCAGAAATAAAAAATTGTGTTCTCTGTAGCTGTTCATTGATTTCATAAATGCAACACACTATATAGTTTTTGTATACATAGCATAAAAACGATTTATGCAGTGTTATCGTCATTTTAGATGTCAAAAGGATTTTGTGGCTCTGGGCGTTTTCTTTTCTGTGGGAAACACATCCAAGTGGCTCTTTTGAGTGTTTAAGGTTGCCGGCTCCTGCACTAGCTATTCTTGGATATTTCAAATAAACATTGAGTTAATAAATTTTTATCCTTAGTAGAGTTTGGAGCTTTATGCGAAGTTGGATAATATTAAAACAAACCTATTGGAAGAATGCTTCCCATTTATCAATTATATAGATGTATATGTATCTCATTGTAAGGGGTATACTGTGGAGTTTGCCTGATGCTATGCGTTTCCCAAAGATAGTTCCATAATCACCAGAACACAAAAAAATCTAGAGTGCATCACGGTTGGGTCAAGTATAGCTTTCTTGTGTTAAGTTAGATCATTTGATTACTTCGACAAACCTTTTAGATTTTTCTATCTGTAAGGAAGCAATTCTCAGGTGTTTTCACCTGCTCTCCAATACATTTTGGTTTAGAAATAATTTGATAGCACGTGGTGGCAAATGTTTCCCGATAGCTCATTCCCAAATATTCCATAGGTAAAGGTTCCCCTCGCACATATGTGCTATTCATTCCCGACTCTAGGGGACGATGCTCATCTCCGTTTCAAAGCTGAAGAGCCAGTGCTGTCCAAAGACGTCTTCATGGTCATGTGACAGGCATGACCCAACGCCAAAGGTGCACGGAATGCTGTTCCCTTCCCACCAAAGGTGGTTCCTATTTTTCTACTTACATTTTTTACGTACTTTCGAACTGCTAGGTTGGCAGAAGATGGGACAAGTAACGGGAGTTCACTCCGTTACGCGGCGCTAGTGATTCGAACCGCCGAATTGCAGACCTTTCTGATTGACAAGCTTAGCATCCCTCTTAAATGGAAATATTCCATACCGTGTTCTATTTAAGGATCTAAAGCAGCCTTAATTCTTTAAAAGCAAACTTCTCCGGGATAACCTCTCACTGTTTACACAGCCGTTGATCGGCGCAAGGGGAATAAGAAAATTAAGTCCCTTTGGGTCTTGAAATAGCAAGAAAGATGTGAACTAGTTGTAAAAAGATGCTGTGGGAGATTCTGGAATCTGACCTTGAAATTTGATATTTAGTCCAATGAGCTCTCCAAAACTGGGACTCTACATTGTAATGCTAGTTACTGCAAATGAAAGGGATTGATTTTGACAACCTGCCTTAAGAGTATCGGTTGTTAACAGCAGCTAAGGAAGCGTTAGGATTTTGGACTGGAATTCTCCATTAGTTGGTGATAACTACAGCAGGCGTAATGGCTCTATTGGACTTTGTAGATGAGCTTCCCAGACAGCTGAATTAAAGGGTTAAAAGAAAAGGGAGATTAACCTATCGACAGTCACGTCAAAGGTAAAAGGTCACCAATGAAAGAAAATAGAGGTAGTTCTCGACTTACGACCTAATGGAGCCTATCCATTACTGTCATAAAGCAGGTCACCCATGCGACTGATCTAACTTTAAAGCCTTTTTTTTGCAGTGGATGTAAAGTGAATGCTGTGGTCAGTAAGCGAAGCCATTGCTTGCTGCGGGGCATTTTTGCTGAAAACTAGACGTGAAGGGCGTTTTTTGGAGGGGGAAAACGTCATAAATCGTGGTCATGTGACTGCGGGACGTTGCAAACAGCCCGTAAGTGCAGTCAGTTGTTGAGTACCTGAAAGGCAAGTGACATGGCTGTGCGGAGGGAGGGGGGCGCACTGGAACTTCGGAGTGGGGGTCCATCATAACT